GTGTACTACGGTTTCCCCCTAGTGTTGAAAAGGCACACACACCTGCAAATTAACAAACTGACCCACTGATGTCGCAACAACTTGATCCACCAGTAGAAACGCAAATTATGATGGAACGGGTCGCCCGGGGGAGGAGGAGTAGTACGAGACAAGTTGTAGGGCCGGATGCTTAACCTGTAACAGCTAAAACCCGAAACGAATTGTTGAAATAAAGATAATAGCAGGACCCTGTTTCTCGAAATCTTAAAGGAGCTAAATCGCTAATATTTTGGACCTAGAAATTGGCACAAATGGGTCGCAACACATATAATAATGTAATATGAATTTATATAAACTGTTTTACATTCAATCGTGTCCGTTTTACTGTGAATTGTCATCAGTTATGTTCGGCGAAATACGCCAGAAGTCTCAACCGCAAATCAGTTTCTAGCGTCTGGTTATTCCATTCAACACCGATATTACATGTATTTATTGCGCATGCTCTCAAATTAGAACATGACATGACTTGTGGAATATGTCTAGCCCCATTCTTTGAGCACCTTGTTACAAATGGCGTTTGTATTATGGTACACGATTCGTGTACCAATGATAAAATGTTTATTTTGTCTTAAATATTGGATATCAGAAGCCCATTTTTTCCAGGTAAGATCACAACACCAATGCTGATTTAAATTGCAAAAAAATTCGTGTTTTCAATGTCGAAGATTTTGGATGATATTGAGTTACCAAATTTTAGTAGATACTTCAATTCTGATTGGCTAAGCACTAAAATCAATCTAATATTATCCAATCAAATTACTAAAATTTGGATTTTATCTTAGTTACAATTTCGTGAAACGGGCCCCAGGTGTTTGTACCCAAATGACATAGTTTCTAGATCTTAACCAGCCCCTCTCCCCCAGAATACTACAATTCCATATCGATGCTACAATTCCATATCGAGATAATTAAAAGTAAGCTCAGAATCCCTTGACTGTTTACTGAGCACAATATCACCGCTGGGTGTTGAACAACATTGAACGTATTTGTTGTAGTTACCAAACAAAAAATTGAAACTGTTATGTCAGTCACAATCAACAAGACACTGGAGTGATAATAGCTCATAAATATTCTACATGCAATATCTATTAGTAACGCAGTTCCAATGTGGATGGATGATTCTTTGAAGTAAAAACTGATTAATTATTCTGTTCTGTTCTGTTCTATTTCAGTCGTGTGCACTAAGCCACACATGCAAATACCATACTTGTTTTAAGCCTCTAATTATTCTGGCGATCATCCTCATCGTCGGATGACTCTTTCCTTGTCATTTCTTAATGGCTGCTGAGATGGTTTCCCCATTCTACACAAAGAAATCTATCTACGTTGAGAATAGATCTCTGCCTTGAATGACCGCCATATTCAAAAATAAGTATTCTGTTTTGTAATGCTGTCAGGATAGAACAACTACCAAAAAGGGTAGGGGAAAATCAAATACTTCGGACCCCGGGATTTTCAGAGCACGTTGTTAAACTTAGATACAAATCTAGAAAGTATCAGGATTCGCAGTGGTAAGCTTTAGGTTGAAATATTAAGACCAATGGTGATCTTATCAAAGTATGACATCATTTCCGGAACATGTTACTTGGCGTACAGTCTTGAAATGATTTTGGTCGCACAGATATTATCAGGGTTCGCAGTGATGGGCCTAGGGCGGTGATATCATCAAAATATGACATCATTTCCGTCCGGATATTCTTTTCTACTACCTATGTTGATATGCGTTATCCAGACTATAAACCGGATATCCTGCCATCTATCTGCTCGACAGTATTAGGGTACCGGCACAGCGTGGATCGGTATCTCACTGTATGAGTTGCTAAATAGCAAGATCTAAACATCGACAATTTGAAATGAAATGAAATGGGTTTAACGTACTACTGTTTTGCTCCGAACTGGGCTAATGAAGACGAGCATACGCCATACAGTGTGCTATAAGGGAAATTTTGCCCGGACAGCGGCACTACGGCCTACTCTTATATCGAATTCCAACTGTCAAGGGATCTTTTACGTGCACGCCAATGTGTACACGGGACCTCGGTTTTTCGTCTCATTCAAATGACTAGACAGCTGTCCCTGTCAGGCCCTCCATCTTGCCGACAATTTGAAACTAAAATGACAGACCTACACAAAATGCAGTATTCAGTATTCCCAACAGATACAAATAAAAGACAAATATTTATTAAATCCAAAAGTTTTGCACGAGCACCGGCACTTATACACAAACCTCGAAATTTGCACTCGTATCGCACATGGTAATATGACACGGCCACCATTTAATTTGTAGTTTTACCACATTTCATGTTACGGCGACAAGATTGCTTTCACATTATCGTAACCGTAGACATAGTCATACGGCGCATTATATTATCATAAAGACATTACAAATTTTGTCTGAATTTGTCGGTGAAAATTAACCTCGATCCCACACAAATTTTGTCTGAATGTGTCGGTGAAAATTAACCTCGATCCCACATTTTCACCGACAAATTCAGGCAAAATTTGTAATGGGTTTATGATAATATAATGCGCCGTACACTAATAGAGCATGGTGACCAGACATTAATGCAATATATATATGTTTTCTTTAAACTCAAGGCCATTGATTTATTGTGAGATATATACCTCATAGATTGATAAAGCCAATAATATTTAAACTTCACTTAGTCGATCTGTAACAATTGTCTTATAACATAAATATATAGAACACAAACTTCGATTTTTTGTTTGAGCGCCCCCCCCCCCCACACCACCTAACATCCTTGCATTGTACATGTAACTATAGAAATACACTGATTTTTTAAAGTAAAATGTCCTCAATACGTTCAATTCTATTCACATCTGTAGACCTTGATCTACTTCGAATTCCAATTGCCAAAGTATCTGTTTCTAGCACTATAATTTACTACATTGGATCTTGGTATTCGTACCATCCGAACGACTACGTACGTTTTCTGCCCCCCCCCCCATTCCCCACACACCCACACATATAAACATACGCCGACTCTTTCGTGTGGGAATCAGGATTGCAAAGTGAGCATACACGACCTCGTGCACAGCACATTATGCTTATAGTTAAATGAAGCAATGATTTATTGTATTGTAGTATATACTAAGCCACACGAGATGTATAAAGAACTAACACATGGTTCAATTTTATTTCAATAATTCGCTTGCGCGTAGGTTATTTTTAGCAGTGGGAGGAAACCGGAATTGATGAAAAAGAGACACATTCAAGTTATGTGTAAAGCGATATGTCTTCAGAGACAGTGTAACCCGACTCCTTAAATTCTCCCATCTTTCATGTCGGAAAAACTCTCGACTGCAGAGGTGTATAATTAATCTGATTAAAATATTATGTATTATCGCCAAGTAGAAATTCAATGAAATGGGGTTTAACGTCCTATTGTTTTACTCCGACTGGGATAATGAAGACGGCATACGCCATACAGTGAAATTGATTGATTGGGGCTGACGTTACCGGTTGTATTCCGTAATACTGAGTATAACAGAAGAAACAAATTGGCTCTTTTAAAATATGCTCGTATACGCGAATGACTGATTTGGTCATTGAGTGGGATTTCATTGATAAACTATTTTAACTTGCAAAACTAACTGCCAGTTAAATTGCATGAATAAATAAATCAAAATTTGTTAAGTCTAGTAAACTGCCAAAACAAATGAGATATGGTATAAGCTATTCTTGACAAATTTAAGCACACCCTTCCTTGTGCTCAACACACGTTGGCATCAGTGGCCATTTTGAGAGACAGTTCCTACTTATATCATCCAAACTAGAATATCACAAAAAGTATGATTTTTCGTACAACAGACCCACGAGCCATGGCACCATTTTATTGTTGATAATACGGATTTTATTGTTCGATCGTTTGACATTACACTAGTCCAATATGTCCGTGTTCCTTGTTTCAACATTATTTTGGCACAACCTTTATGCGTCTATGTCAGCGTTTGTATTTTTAATGGACGCAGTGAATGTGTTAAATTGTTAAGTTGTAAAATCCATGATATTGTTTACCAGCTTTGCGCGCGGGATTATTTATAGTAATATTGAGTGCAGGTCAGGGGTCTCCGGGTGAAAACCAAATCCTCTTAAATATGGCTGGTATTTTGGGTTTTGGAACAGAACGAATTGGAAGACGCCGTTATCGAGTACATCAAACAAGGGGATTTTCAAGGCCATGCATGTAAGTCAATGTCACTAGAAACAATAGAGGAATGATACAAAGTATGCGGAACACAAGGGGGCTCAATGTTTGCCAGAGACAGTCTAAATAAGCTTCGGATAAATCGATATGGTGACACGGTTAAGTCAAGGCCAAGACAAAGGTGAAACTTGTATTGTTTTCTCGAGTTCGTCAAAACTTTCAACTTACTCCTCATCGTTTGCTTATTTTTATTCAAAGCCTTCGTTTATTTACTTGTTTCGTTTCGTGTTTGGCTAAATCCAGCATTTTAAATAAACCAAGTACGTCGTCAATATATAAAAAAGAGAAGGCGATGGGTTTATTTGGTTTCTTCATATTAAATAAATTTCTATCCACCACAATCAATCTGGAGTTAGTTTTGCTTTGTTCGACATCGGGACCAGCAGACGATAGGCCTTATAAGGAGTTAACTGCAAGTCTTACCCGTGAATCTAATACTGCAATGCTGTCTGTTACTCAACTTTTGTTGATTTTCGATAAGAAGCAACAAGCTTGCATGACACTTGATGACTGAGACAAACAGGGGAAAGCCAAGAAGCAGTGGATTAAAGGATTGGGCATGCCCGGCTTCTCCTCAGACTATTTAAGAGCCCATGTATACCCCCACTCCCTTGTCTGCGATATCACTTCAATGGACGCGGAGGTTAAATAAAGCTATTCCACCCCACCCCCTCCCCCCGAGCTTAAATCAGTGCTCATTCAAATCTCAGTGTGAAAAATTAAAAAGTCAAATTTATAATAAATAACAGTTTTATTTTCTGTTAGTTCACTAACATAACTCGAAATATAAATTTTACAACTTAAGATGCACTGCATCTTTCATAGAATTTGTGTACGAATATAATAGTATTTTATATAATATAATATATTTTAATATAATATGTAATGTATATGGCACAGGTGTGATGTATTAATATATTTTCTAGTGACTAGCCATTTTATACAAAAATACAAAATTTCTTTTCTTTTCTTTTTCTTTAAAAAATAACTATATACAGCACCATGTACAAAATGAAATCAAATCCATGACAGATCTTTAGTTCCAAACGGATGAACTTTGATTTTACATAAAATATATGAACATGATTTTTCAAATGGTGAAATTAATGACAACATATTTGATAACAAAAGTCATTTTCATGACACAAAATATACAAAAAAATAACTAATTTATATATACTCGTATATTCAATATAAGCAGAAAGAGTTAAGTATACAATAAGTACTAATTAAGAACACTAATTAACAAAGATTATTACTTAGATCACAGATAGCAGAAATAATATACATAATTATATATCTATACTTCAAAAATATAAATTCATCTTTTATTCCCAATAATGGACAAACAAGAATTCCTTTCTACATTCTGGTCGCATAACAATGTAACTCCTAATAGCACTTTCTCTTAGTTCATGGATGTATAACGTTAATAGAGCTCTAATAGAAAAACATAACAGTCAAAATAAAATCAAAACTTGAATTCAAGTATCAAATTTGGTTAAATTAATGTAAATATCAAACTCTAAGAGTGTTACGACAACTATCTGCTATATGCTACTAACTGTTGGGTATGCTTTTAAATACATACAATACCAGACCGGCTGGTATCGTAATCAAAATATAACTATATGATTCTGCTACCAAGCAGTACTAGTACTTGACCATGAATTTTGCTGAAAAAATACGTTTTCAAACTATTTCAAGAGACAAAAATGATCACAAAGCCAAAACTTTTGGGATTGTTTGATATTAACATAATTGCTACAAAAATTTAATTGTACAACATTTAATATTATACAATTACAAAATATGGAAGATGAATCTTAAAAACAAACAAAAAAAAAATAACAAAAAGGGCACCCTTCTTCACTATAAACCCGCTTCTTAGCACCCTGTCATAGACAGGGATAGCTCAAGCTTTGATTGGGCTCTAGTTCAGAGTGGGTTCTTTTAATGCATGCATAATTTTGGCACCTGATCCAACGGACCAGCCGTCATATCGGAATCCAGCCGAAAAAATAATTCATAATTCCATGTTCTAAATAATTCAAAATATTATCAAATTATTCAAATTCTCACCAATGGTGAATTTAACGATGACATAAACAGCCTACATGACTACTCGCAAATAAAGAGATGCATGCACATTGACCCTATGGTATGGAATATCCGAGTATCTTATACATAAAAATAAATGCATTATTTTGTATATAAATTGATACATATAACAAACCATTAAGAGCCCCGATCTGATAACCCTATCATAATATATTACAACAAGGTTTTAGTAGATCAGTTACAGTTGGGATATTTCCTAAGACAGCATTCTTCCTTCAGCTGTTCAGATATGACGCTTCATGTGGAGGGAAAGATGATCACTTCGGGAAAAGGCTCGTTCACACAAATGGCATTGGAAGGGACGATCACCGGTGTGTTTTCGGTAATGGCGTGTGAGTTCATCAGATCTGGCGAACTTCCAGCCACAGCCTTTCCATGTACAGCAATATGGTTTTTCACCGGTGTGAGTTCGGTGATGAGCTTTAAGATGTGAGCTCTTGGTGTAGGTTTTCTGACAGCCTGGATGAGTGCAGGTGTGACTGGTCTGGCGTTTTCGGCCCCATGTTCGTCGACCTCTCTTTTTGGGCTGTGGCTCTGTTGGCGGTTGTGGAAGAAGAAGCTCCACTAATTGTGGTGAGGATGGTGGGGTAATCATCTGGTGACCCATATGGTTAGGCTGACCGTAAAGCTTGGACATCATATGGTGTCCTTGGAGGTTCATCAACTGATGATGCGTGTTGTTCATGTGCATCATGTTTAGCTGATGGCACTTGAGGAACTCATCTCGTTGATGTTCTGGGGAGGACGGTGGTGATATGGTGTTGGACAGGAAAGGCATTTGGTGATTGGTATTGGCTGGGATGAGAGTTACAGTTCCTGAATAAGTTGAACATGAATTATTGCTAAGAGGAAATTCCTGTTTAGGCACTACTTGTTTGTAATCAACATTTTGTGGCTGTTGCTGAGGCTGGGGTTGTTGCTGTTGAGCCATTTTGTTCATTGTGCTAATAATGTCTACTTTTCCGTTTCTATCCATCACTACACCAACATCTAATTTAATATCAGGAATATCTAGAAACGTGGAATGGAAATCGGGTAACATGCTACCAGGTTCTTGTTTAATTTTTAAACCACAATCTTCAGGATAAAAGTTCGTTTCAGCGGAATTGTTTAAAATAAAGTCCAGGTCTAACAATTCATCGAATTTATCCAAAACATTTTGAGATGAAGTGAGCTGCTCTGATTGATTCAGGTTCATATTAATTTGTTGACTGTTATTGTTATTATGTTTTACTGGGCTCATGTACACGGGTAATGGTGGAGACATGGTCCCGGTGCTGTGGCCTCCTGGAGACATGCTGCCGGCAGGGGATGAAACACTTTGGTATCCGGGGGAGGAAATATCTGAAGACATGGGACTACCTCGCATCTGTTCTGTCATCATTTGTGCCATGCTGCTCTCATATGATGAGTTATCATGATACAGTAAGTTCTCAACTTCTTGCCAAGTCTGAAAAGATAAAATGACACAATCATAAGTACAAATTTAAAAGTTAAATAAATTTAGAATTCGAGAATTATTTAAGTTTCAAGTAAAAAGGAGGATTTTTTTCGTCACGTACCGGTAAATTAAACATTTCGTCTTCGTTGAAGTCTATGAAGTTTGGAACTGGAGAATTGTCTTCAATTGTGTTCATATTACAGAATGAGCTGTACTGTGGATACGTAACACGAAGCTCTTTCTATGAAAGAACTAGCCTTATAAAACCAACAATTCTATTCCCGCTCTTTTAAAAGACTCTTCCATAATATCATTAATGTTATCTACGAATAATTAGACATTAAGACACAATCCTATTAAAGTGCGATCGAATGTAATTAATTTGTCGATATTGACGAAATAAAGAGGCTCTCGGTGACGGTCAAACATGCCGTTACGTACGGAAACAGCAACAGTTTATGGACACATTATCTGACTTTATATAAAAGCTAAAATCTAGTTAGGTACGTGTGCAATATAATATGAATCTAGATATAGCCTAGGTATGTATATATCGATTGATACCTATATATGTGTAATAGTGAGCTCATTTATATTTATGCTGATAACATTAGAAGTATGATTAACTATTACTGTTGTTTTTCTCATAATGAGTCATTTATTAATACAGAAACACTGTTAGCTATCTAATTCCCCGCTGTCTATATACCTATAGCTTATTATGTGACCTGATAAGGTCAAGCTAGTCTGTGTATATACTATATAAGTACAGAGCATGGGAAAGCAATTACAACTTTCACAAATTTGATGATAAGCAAACAAATTTTGTCGCGTTAAATTGCTAAAGGTTTTGACAGTGCTCAAAGCTTTGAAAACATCCCCAGTTAAACTCTTCGTACTTCATGCACGCCGTGAAATAAACTTTTATCCAACAGTAAAGCTAAAATCTCCTTTTAGTTAAATTGATTATTTTCTCTGCTTTATTAATGTTTTTAAAATAAAGTGCACGAAAAAGTTTCAGAACTAATTCCAGAATGTCAGTGACATTTTACCAAAAGGTGCTTTGGAGCGCAAAAGCGCGGTAAAAGACGCTGCACTAGCTTCTGTCATCGACGCACGTTCTAGCATATTAACATAAAACCGTGCAAAAAGCCAATTCCCATCAAAAATGTCATTATTAGCAATTACTTAATTTAATTAACTGATGACTTATTATTAAGAATAATTTGTAGTTATGTTCTGTCATTAATGAAGTAACAAAACAAATGTTTTAAAGTTAAACAACACTACTTACTGTTTGAACATCCATCATAAGAGAAGAAGTTTCCTCAAATTTGCTTGTAGGAAAACGTGTTTGATTATCCACTACAGATTCTAAGACTTCTGTCATGCTCTTTACAAATTATTATTCACAAACTTTCAATTCAATAAATACTCGTGAACGATACTGCTTCGTATACTTAATCAGATTTAAGACTGAACTAACTCGATCCTGCAATGTCAGATAACTATATTCGCCTGCTTTCTGATTGGTCTATCTCGCGCGGGCTAATAATAGACCCCTATATAAAGCAGTATTAAACCCACGACAGTTAACATTCATGATAGTAGACTAGAGACAGTCGGTTCTGGCTCTCACAAAATCAAAAATATAAACAAACTGATATAGCGAGAGATGTAGATAGGCTTAGTCACTGTTTATGACGTACGTACTTATATCAATGATGTCTATTGTAGTTTCCCTAAAATATTTCAGATACAGGTGTTGTATTCAATTGATTGTTAGATGCGGATATCTTTCCTACTTGATTATCAATAAGACTTAAGTACTACCTCTATCATACGTAGGCATATCTTAGTAAATTCCTATGGGATACTTAGTACAGAATCCTGTTTTGTTACATATGGTAGACATTGTTTAATACTACACACAAACACACAACAAACTGTATCAAATTCATACAGCCATGTAACCCATATAATATTATGTTAATGTATTGTGCCATATGGACTATAGTATCGTACTGCCACATTCCAGCGCACTATACGTACTGAACATCGATATCTGAACATCGATATCTGATCTAACGTTTTCTGAATAATATCATAGCACTTTATATATACTTAATATTTCACTGATCAAAGCCTATTTAAACCATTATTTTTAAATATCATAAATTGTGCAATACTTAAAAATCGGACATAAGAACATTTATAATGGATTGGATGCAGATACATGTGACCTTCAACTTAGCTAAGAGCATCCATAATTGATGCATTCGAGTAGCGAAAAGAGCCATATAAGGTCTGTTGGTAATTAATTTCAGCAGATAGAAATCTACATCTGAATCTTTTTGATGTTAGTGTATATAGGATATCTGTTGTTAGTTTAGAAATGTGGATTCTTTCCAAAGCCAATGAAATTAATATTTGAGAATGAAAAGTTCGCCTAAGCTTTATGTGGGTCTTTTTGAGACTAAAGTGCCTTTCTTTATGAACTGCATTATTACGCGTGCAATGCAAAAGAGCGTGGGGGGGGGGGTTAATATATTTTCCTGCAAGATCTGTTTTGTTAATACGTTATTTACAATACATTTTGTATTTATTAGCATAAGATAACGAGTTTCCTGTTTACATATTATTTTCCATTCTTTACCTTCTCCGCTTATAATAAAAAAGGCAAATTAAATTGATATACATTTTAAAATTTTAACCATTATTGCATATATATTTTTTATGCCCGTGGTGATATTTCTAAAATGTGTTTCAAGATTATTTGTACATTTATAATGTACTTATATGGTAAGATATGAATATGATGACGTAGTTACGGTTTTTATTCTTGCTCTAAGCTAATTAGGATGATCAATATACCTGAACTACAACATATGGTCTAAAAACGTATGTAGATCAGTACCTATAGGTCATATATATTGTCATTATAGTGTCCTCGAATATTTACATCTAAAAATGACAAAATGCATCTATTTGCAATAGATTTACGTTAATCCATAGACACGGAATAACCATAGAAGGAATACGGCGTAAATTATTATATTTTCCTCGAATATTCTCCAAGATGGAGAGATGTTTATAGGAGAAAAGCACTTTTTATTTTTAAGCAATATCCTTATTTGATGTCATTTACCTGCACTTCAAGGGTATGAACTTTACACACGTGACGTTTCTGTTTAATTTTTGTGTTTATGCTTACGTAAATATAATAATATTTAAAAAATAGGTTAACTGTTGCATCGTGTGATGTGTGTACGCGTTATCAGTGTTGGGTGTTGTACAAAACATAGAATGACTTCTTACTCTCACAGGTTTATGGGACAGAGAGAGAAATTGAGTTTAACGTCCACTCGACACAAACTAGGTAATTTCGGGACTAACATATGGTTTAATTTTATTTCAATAATTCGCTTGCGCGCAGGGTCTTTAGCAGTGGGAGGAAACTGGAGGCCCCGGGGGAAACCCACGAGGTTAAACAGGCGACCCTACTCCTTGTCACGTACAACCGAGGATTCGTAACCACGCCAGTTGACTCAATGACAGGCCTTATGATACAGCGTGCACGTGCTAACCATTCGGCCATCCCCCCCCCCCCCTTTACAGGTTTATAAAGTCAGCTTACTTTCTGTTTGATAAATACACCATTATTTAAAGCTTATTAAATTATTTAGTAGATCTTAGAAAACTTTTTAATGAATTTTTGATTGCAGCGGCCACTACGGCATCAGAACTTTCATACTTTCTAAGACTAGTGCGAGTTCGGTATATGCTCGCCGTAAAATCATTATTCCACAAATAATCAATGCACGCTTAAATAAAAATAAAACTAGCAATGTAAGTTTTGAAAACAATTAAGAGCGTTATCGGAAGTTTTGGGGAAAAGCAAAAGAGCGTAATGGTAGTTTCTGAAAACAAGTAAGAGCTCATGTAAGTATTTGGAAGTGTTTTGGAAATCGCACATCTTGGTCTTCCTCTTGGACCACTTCAAAGTCTGTTTACGCGTAAGCGAATTGTTGAGATATGTCAGTCCCGAAATGACTTCGTTTGTATCGAGTGGATGTTAAACCCCATTTCCCTCTCTTTCTCCGCTGTCCCACTTCTACGTTAGCTGGATAAAAACCTTGAAAAGGAAGTAAATAATAAGGAAACGTTGTAATTATTATGTATTACATGATAATATGTAATGAATGGTTGATAATACGGAATTCAAAAAAGTACACCATCTTGCGATAAAGTACGGTTGAAGGGGCTAGACCAGTTTGGTTTAGGTGAAAATAAATCAAATGGGTTTTAACGTGCTACTTTTCTGCACAGACTGGGATAATGAAGATGGGTAGTTGGAAATAAAGTTTTCAATTGGGTTGATTTGATGTGTTATTTCAATATACTATAAAATATCAATTTCAAAATATTAAGCTGAAATCGGGTTTTTTATTATTCTTTTTAGTTTCGTATTTTACTTAAACTGTCGACTGTTAAACACAAAATCAGTTATATCTCAACACATTCCCTGTCCGCAGATCTAAGTATTTTAATGTAGGCAGATGCCCACTTCACACAGCAAATAATAACGTCAAATTTAATTATATCGACATCCAAATCAAAGAAGTCTTGTCATCTTAATATAGATGAGTCTTCAATATTTCTAGCTTGTTTATTACATTTGTGAAACCTACGCATTTCTAACAATAAGGCGATTGTTTCTTGGTGAATACACACATCTAATAGAATCTACGATAGATTTATCATAAGTTGCTCCGATAATGTCATTAACAAATTAAGCTAATTAGCAGAATTTGTCATGGTCAGAGAAAGGTTAGATAATGAAAGTCTTGACGATATACAGACCATTTAATTGGAGTCCGATGACCGATGTGACGTCAGGGTGGTCACTAAGTACCTTTTATGTTGATGACCATTAATGACCATTGATATTATTTTATGTTTAATTAACACGTCATCGCATCTATTATATGTTAATTATCAATAAGTATATTGTGATAAGGTGATGCAATGCGTGTATTGATGCGGTTAATATGTAATAACAAGACTTTTAGTCTCGCGCTATAGCCAGGGGGGAGTAACTACTAGCCTACGATGATGGATGGATGAGGTTGACGACTGAAACTAAAATGATTTATTTTTCTTATAGAAGATTTCTTTCTTGCTATCATGTACTGTATATATATTTCTGAACTTGTAGATTACAAAGGCCAGCAATTGTCACTCATCTGTCGAGATTTTTCTTTTACTCTATCTAGTCAAAGAGATTAGCGATGTATTGTTTTAGTATACCAAGATATAAATAATAGCTTAACAAGATCTTACGATATTTGTTTCTTTGACAGTGTTAGAAACTAGAAATGATTTCACTACAGACATAAGATATATTATTCAAGTGTGGAAAAGTACAACTCCCTTCATATTAATTTAATTTCTCTGGGTGTCTTAAAACAACCATCGCGCTAGAATAAAAAGTACTTTTATTAAACATACATTATGGGAGATTAGATAAAGAGCTGGCAGTTCTCACTATAATAGTTTAAAACTAGATAATGTAAAGGGAATTTGCTGAAACTTTCAGTCAAATTGATCCACTCTGAACCGAGATTTTAGCGATTGAATTTTCGGCCTAGCCTCGATCATCATTACTAAAGTCGGTACGATAAAACACATAGGCTTGATTATCCATTTCATGATTAAATCATGAGATGGAAGTCGAACAGCAAATAGATTAAACATCGCAGGCTAGCGATGACATTGAGAGTTGATTATGGTCTGGATAAGTTAATTAATGTCTAATTAATAATTTAGATAACATTTCAGGCCTAAAGAAAAACCTGTAATAGACAGATTTAGCTCCTGCATAATGTATGTTTAATAAGAAAAATAATACTTGTAAAAAAAATTATTCAAATCTATAAATTCCAATTTAAGTTGATATTGGCTTCTATTGATTTTACCCCGTCATCTTTATTTGTATTAGACAAATGCAATAATAATTTTTCAGCTATCTTTTTCATACAAGCCAGTTCATTATTCATGACACTTTTTCCATACATAATCGGATAAATTTAATCACATATTAACAAACGTCTATACATTAAAATAGAAGATTTGTTGTTTACTTTTTAGTAATATGAAATTGGAACAAGAAAAAAAAGTTATCTATTTGAACTTCATACTGCGAAGTAGTCCTGTGTTTTCTAGTAAAACTAAGCATGTCATGGCTCGTACAAGACACATGCTATTGTTTTTGTACTGTACCTAACTTTTAATGCCAATTGATCAATGAAAAAAAACCAGTCTTCATTAGCCCAGTTCGGAACAGAACAGTAGGACGTTAAACCCTATTTCATTTCATTTTCAACGAAGAAAAACAAATCACATCTCCCATACTTTTCAGCCACTGTCAGAAATTTTCTCAATGAAATAATTGTGTAACAATGTGCATTTTATGAAGAAAATA